ATATTTTACTTAAACATTTTTTTATTTTCTTGTTAAAAATGAATTCGCAAAATTTTTAATTTCAAATATATATATAGTATTTCATTCCTATGATTATGAATGTATAAGAAAGGGATTGTCTGTTTTTACTCTAGACAGTTACAGATCCAGCTTTTCTGTTAATACACTAATGTAATAAAACAACTGTATTAAGCCACCAGAGCTGCAGAACTTAGCAGGCCCCACATGAGCCCTATCACTGAAATTAGTCATTACGACCCATGATTTCCTGCAATAATTGAAAATATGTTCTACTTGGACTTCTGTATACTTCAGGATCACCATTTTAGGAAGTAGACTGGTTTTTGGCCTCATCCAGACAGCCTTCTTGTTTATAATCAACTGCAATAAGTCTGTAAGCTGTCTTTCCACAAAAACCTAGGATCCCAATCAATGTTTTACTTCAGGTTTATTTTGGACTTGTTTATCCCTCTGTTCTATTATTTTGTCAATTTCAAGGACTACTTATACTACTAATGGAAATAAAATAGTCATACAAAACCTATCACAGTGAAATTTACAAATCATTTTATAAATGCACAGTAAAAATGGCATATTAAATATTATTCCTATATCAAGCAGCTTTCTATAGATAGTCCTCAACTTATGAACATTCACTTAGCAACCATTCAGAGTTACAGCAGTACTGAACAAAGGGACTTATGAAGACTCACCAAAGTTATGGCCATTGCAGAGCCCATGATGTGACCAAAATTCAGATACTTGGCAGCCCTCCCACACTTATGACCAACTCTCTCTGCCCGCTTATCTTCTTCCCATTTTTGCCCTTTTGGGCACTTGCATTCCATGGCCCTGCCACCCTAGCTTATCTTTGCCACATTTTTGTTTCCATTGCCAACCAAGAATGCACTGCCTGGCTTTTCATAAGGTTGTTTCCTTATGAGACCTGGGGAAGAGCAAACCTCAGCAGAAGCAGGAACAAGAAGACAGTGAAGGTCAACTGGGGTGGCAGAGCACAGGGCCCTGGAGTGCAGGGCAGCAAAGGCAAATATAGTTGGGACTGGACTGGGACAGCTGTGCCTTTGCACCACTTAGGGTAGCTGGAGGCTTCCTGAGGCCTCTGTGGCTTTCACTACTCTGCTGGGGTGGCTGGGGCTTTGCATTCTGCTGCCAGGCAGCTGCGGCTTCACACTGCATTGCCTCAGGGGTTACAGAACTGCAGAGTGCCAAGTAGCCCTTGAGCCTCAAAATGCACAGCCCAAGCTATGCAGTTTGAGGACAGAGCAGCCAAAAGGACAGAGGTGCAGGGAATAGGCTATTTGGAGATAGCTGAAGGACAATAGGCCCTTACCTTGAAAAAAATCAGGGCTGGAAGGGACCAAGCCCAGAATAGCTAGCTTGGAGTGATTCTCAGCTAGGAATGGTAGAATTCAGTCAACAATGACAACCAGGAATAATTTACAACCATATCACTTAGCACCCGAAATTCCCGTCCTAATTACCACTGTAAGTTGAAGACTGCCTATAATGTAAAAGTCACATCTCTGCTTTTACAAAATTGAATAGGTCTATTTGCAGCTATTATACATCTGTGGCATATAAAGAAATACCTGCATTAACCCATTTAGATCATGAAAGGAATTTTTTTGACTAGTGAACTTTAACTAGATAGATATGCTGAGCTGCAGGACTTTTCCTAGTTGAAAATGTTTTCTTTTCCTTCTTTTCCCTTTTTTTTTTAACTAAATGGGGTTACGTTTATATACAGGGGTCATCTCCAAGTGCACAACATAGTGCTGCTTTCAAATGTCAGAACAGGAGGATGAGAGAAAAGCACAGAGCCAATTACTTGCAGCCGACATGAAGACTCTTAGATCAAAGCCATCAGCCATCATCTGGGGCTAGTTTTCATCAGGCATGTCAACTGCCCATTTGTTTTAATGGATTGAACTGGGAACCTTGCTGAATATTTACATTGATGAACAAACAATGAGGAAAATAAATCATAAATCATCCCCCAGGAAGCAATAAAAGAGATATGAAGTAGTAATAAGAAACAGATCACGGTTCTCTATTGAAAATAAAGTATTCTATCCAGGTATAAATAAGTATTAGATGAAAGCTCTTTGAACTTACTCTTTTGGTCTGAGAAGTACTTCTGGTACTGTCTAGGGGGGCTTTCCATTACAAATCCATGAGTTAGGCTGAATTTAAAGAGAATAAATGGTTCAAAGGCACCCATTAAGCACTGTGGTCAAGCAAGAAGATGAACCCGAGTTTCCTAAGTTCATCATCTAATTATTGTTATTTGTTCATTCACAGACAAGTGACTATGGGTGGTATACATTAGATCAGGAGTCCCCAATCCTCAAGCCATGGGCCATTACTGGTACATGGCCTGTTAGGAACCAGACCACACAGCCAGTCTCCCCCCTCCCAGTTTGTGGAAAAATTATCTTCCATGAAACTGGTGCCTGGTGCCAAAAAGGTTGGGGAGTGCTGCATTAGACTGTGTCACATGACAGAAACCTAAACCAATGACCCTATTCTACAGAGAATTCCCTTGGAGTGCCATAAGCAAATGAAAATTTCAGAATTCTTTTTCACAACAAACAGAGGTAGCCATTCTTTGCTTTCTTTACACAACTCAGTTGGTCAAGGAATTCTGTTCCTTGTCACTTATGTTCTAGGCAAGGTATGATTAACCCTGTTCCTAGAACTGAGAATTGGCTCTGTTTCCTACAGCAGTCCTTAGAATAGAATAGAATAGAATAGAATAGAATAGAATAGAATAGAATAGAATAGAGTAGAGTAGAGTAGAGTAGAGTAGAGTAGAGTAGAGTAGAGTAGAGTAGAGTAGAGTAGAGTAGAGTAGAATAGAATAGAATAGAATAGAATAGAATAGAATAGAATAGAATAGAATAGAATAGAATAGAATAGAATAGAATAGAATAGAATAGAAGCTGGAAGGGACCTTGGTGATTTTTAGCCCAGCCCCCCGCTTAAGCAGGAGAATCTATACCATCTCAGACAAGTGACTATCTTTGTTGTTAACTAACAACGGACGGAGGAAATTCTTCTTTGTCTTGAGTACAAGAGAATTGTTATTACTGAGCTATTCCAGATGCTGCTTGTGATTCCTAACATGCTTGCAGGCCTTTGACACCTCCTAGGCTTCCTGATCCATCTGTTCAGGACCAGCTTTAAGGGATACCCAAGTAGGCACTGGTTTAGGGCAGCAAACTTTAGGTGTGCCAATACCACTTTTTTTTCAAATAACTCTAAAAATACAAATCTTTGTATTGTTGGGAAGTGGCACCATCAGTCAATGTGGCCTAGGATCACCATATACCATTGAACTGGCACTGCACTTGTTTATATATTAATTAAATGGAAAGCTAAAAACTATAAAGAAGCATCATCCAGCTTAATTTTTATGAAAATTGAATAAGACTTACTTTTGTTCTGGGAACAAAGCAGAAGTACATGTATAAGAAGAATTAATATGGTAAGAGGAAAATTCTATAATCTAACACACATATATATATATACAGTTTTATGTCCATATGTACTACAGCCACCAATTTGCAAGCTATTTTTTTCTTTATTTCCCCCATGTCAGTTTTAATTGAACCACTAGAGGGTACCCTTTGTAAATTTCTGAAGTATATAATAAAATTCCCTTTTAAAACAATGAAATACAGTAGAAGAGTAAGCCTTTGCCATTGATAAATCATATTTCTCTTGCAAAATAACTTGATTTTCACCTTTAAAAATCTACAAGAAGTGTGGCAGACATTGTACAAGGAGAGCAATGTTAGTCTATAGAATGAATGTCTTTAAAGGAAATTTGTTAGAAAAGTTGCTTCCAGGTTTCTGATTTGGAGCAGTCTTTTTCTTACAAATTACATAATAGAATTTTTAACTATGTTAAATAATAGCTTTATGTTGGATTCAAATTATCATAGGCAGCTAATGGCACATTAATTTCATCAATACCCATTTTTGAGGAAGAAACAATGTTTTTGAACATTTTGGAACCTGTTCCAGGCATCAGCTTAGGCAGTAAATGTTCAGATCACCTTTCTCCAAACTGGTATTTTCTATGATGAGCACTGACACCTCCTGAAATGAACCTCCATTAAATCTGGAGGCAATGACTGTTTTTTCATAAACTAAATGGAGCAATGCCAAAGGGGTCATGGACATAATAGAAAAGAAATCTAGTGCCCATAGGCAAATGTCCCAGAAAATGAATTTATTTAAAAGGTTATATCTCATTTGTTCTTCACCAAAGAGTAGGCTGGCAGTAAAATCAAATTTACAAAGTGTGTTTAACCATCAGAAATAATCAACATCACAACACTCTTTCCCCTGTCCCAAATTCCAGAACTCAGCAGAAGCAGAACATGTTGAAATATGCACAGACAAAAGGGAATGTAGAGCATAAGGAACGCGAACTCAGTATGATGAAAAAATGATTTTTTTCCCCCCAACGGAAGATCTTCTAAAGTAACAACACTGCAGCTAATTGCCTATATTGGTGAAATGTTTGCACCAAAAGGCCCTGCTGTTTAAATCACAGCCCTTCAATTGCAAGGAGATAATCAGAGAGGAAGAATCTAATTTTAGCTTTTATTTAATTACTTGGGGCTCAAGTAATTTAAAGGCTTAAAAGAGAAGCAGAGTATTAGTGATGGTCAAGGATGATGTCTACCATCCAAAAAACAAACAAAAAAACAAAAAAACTAAAGAGAAAAAAGTTGCCTAGCTGAGCTTGAAAAGTAAATAATTAAAAAACTTAGTTCTATCAGAAATAAGCCAGCAAGCAACTTTAATCAAACAATTGTGAGAAAGACTGCTTCTAAAACAAGCCAGCAAAAGTTGATTTGTGATTCCTAATAAAGAATATGAATTAATATTGAAGTATCAATTACTGTCATATCTTAAAATAATACTGAAATAAAATTCCTTTTGCAAGTATAAAAAGTTAAAGTTACCTTCAGAGCGATGAGTATCCAACGGTGTCTGAGTCTCCTTGGAATAGGATACCACTTCCCGGGGCAAAAAGTCCACCTGGGTGATCTTGGAGATTCCAAGCTTGTGTAAACGGCGGCTAGAACAAACACACACACAGCATTGAGGACTGAAACAAGCTTCTCCAAATTCTATTGGGGGGGGGGGTCAGCTTCCCAGGATGAGGTATCTTTTCTCTTGATTTCTCTCTTAGTTTAGAGGGCAAGATATTCATGCAAACCAGGGAGATAAGATTTGCATTCCAGGTTGTTTTGGAATATTGCACCTAGCAAAAAATTCCACGAATTGGATACTGACCTCTGTAACAACTTAGCCTTTAAAAGAAAAGCATAGTTTTTGTTTCTCCAATTCTTGGATGATCTTTTTATCTACCATAGTAGTTTGAATAAAACACCACCATAAAGTATTATAAGAGGAATTAAAAACCCGTGATACTCATATGTTGCTAAACTGTAATTCCCAGGATACCAGGACACCAGACTACTGGTGAGGGACACTGGAAGTAACATGTAGAGTATCACAGGTTGACTATCACTGCTCTAAAAGATCAAACACATTATTATGATGTACAATATGAATTCTTCAACATTCTTAGATTTCTTTCTGTAGAATGCAAATAAACCAGTACTTGTATGTTTAAGAGTATGCTAAAAGCATTGAAGTGTTCTTCAAGTCAGGCTACCTTTTCATATCATTCTTATAGGCTAAACATTCAAAAATAAACTCTCGCATATCAAATAGAGTTCCTTCTAAATTTACATTTTATTTATGCTATCCTTACTCCAGAAATAATAACACATATTTATCTGTGTTAGAGCAGGCAAAGCTATGAACATGTCATAAATATTCTCATAAAATGGCAAGAATAAGCACAAGCAACTAGGGGATAAGGCAAGTGATAAAACAAGAATTGGAGCATCATGACATAGACCCTGTGATTTATGTCACTGCACAATATATCCTGTCATTACAATCTGTAACAGATGCCTATGGGTAGGTGGGTGGATTCACAAAATATCTACAAAATCCAAACTGTTAGGATTGTACCAAATTGTCCCATTTGCCTATCATTAACCCTTTTCCTACCCCTTTTTGTTTTGTTAGACAAACAGAAATATTTCCAAAGAAAGCTCCGAATTGCAGCTATACATTTATTTTGTTTTTCCTACAAACACTTATATGGCGGAAGTAGTATCCAAAGGTTTTCTTATGGATGATGCTAATGGTGATGACTTGCTCCCCAACATGACAGCCTTTTTAAGTTGAAAACAATCAGGACAGAAGTATTACATTAAAGAATTAAAGATTAATTACATTCATTATTTATTGGCTGCAACTTTCAAAATTATCATACAAATAAGATTGTATAGGAGAAAAGAGAAAGATATTGATGTACTATATTAAATAAAGAACGTTGCTAGCAATGAACACAAAAGCATAGTAGGGAAAGTATTTGGCATGCTGATTATGTTAGAGAAATACATATTGTTAGACTATATCCACATGCATGTTATAGTTTCCACAAACATGCTGCTTCAACATTCCATCTCCAGTGAAACAAAAAGAAGTCTACAACTCCCAGAGTTCTGTGAAAGTAGACGACACAACCAGTGGTGGGATTCAAATACGTGAACAACCAGTTCTCTGTGTGGATGCTGTTTCTGGAAGTCCATTCTGGGCCTGGGCAACAAAAAATTAGCTACTGGTTATACCAAAGTGATGCGAACTGGCTGAATCCCACCACTGGATACAACTCCACATCTGAATAAATTTGGGATGGCTCAGAAGTGACCCTTTCAGAGAGTCTTGCTAAAATTGTCTTGGCATAATATGACTCCTCCCAAATTTTCAGAACTGAACAAATGATGTGGAAAGTTGAATAGAATTAAATAAAGTTATTAATAACAACCACAACAATAAGGATAGAGAAGAGAATAATACAGAAAAAAAACCTACTTAGGAAGTCAGTTCATGCAATGAAGTCATACTATAACATAAAACAACAAGAGTGGACATATACCCAAGTTCAGAGTCAGACTGAAGCTGGAGCACTGAAGGGTCTGTGTCCCACTGCAGGGTCCTAGCCAGGTTTAATCAGCCGCACAGGACAAAGGAATGGGTGGGCGGAAAAGAACACACAGAATTAACTGAAAGGATGAAGGAAAAGAAGTCACTTCATCACTTGCCATAATATGTTGTACAGGCACAGAACACAGCTCCAAAACTACCATAGAAAAACACATGGAGGATCACAGTGTTCTTTATCAGACAAGAGCAGGTTAATTCAGTAAGACTATATGTCAAACTAACAAACATTATACCAGCAAGTATTGAAAGCTTCGAATATGTGACATTTGCCAAGCTATGCTTAATTACAAATAATGAACAAATAATTAGTAACCATTATTTATGAACAACTCCCAACAGAAAATACTGTAAATATGGTCAGATTCCCCACTTTATTTTTACAACAACATACAAAACAAGGGGAAGTCTTTATAACTAAGTGAGCACTTCAAAAGCACTGGAGTGACAATGCAGTTTAATTATTCTAAAATGCTGCATGCTGATTGACTGTGCCACAGACACAAAATGTGCGTGGTCAAAGAAAATTCAGGATGCAACCTTTGGTGCTATATGTATGGAACATTTTGCACATTCTGATTAAGGCATAATGAACACTTTCAGCAATGAGTTAAGAACTCTGAACAGATGTAATAGCTGAGGGAGGAAGTGGAATTCAGGCACTTGGCAGCTTCCCCACACAACCACAGGGGCATTTCAACTCCTCCACCTGCCTATCTCTCATCTCATTTATGGCCTTTAGGCCCTCTGCCACCCCAGCTGACCTTTGCCATCTTGTTGCTCCCACTTGCTGATAAGATGTGCCTGCTCTAGTTACTGGGACAGATTAGCTACAGAATCACAAGATTTCAGAGAATGACTTTGCACTACGAAAAGGGGAGCCAAAACAGCTCAAAGTCAGCCCAGGGCTGCCTATGAGATCTTTGCAAAGGGCTGTTTTGGAATACTGTGTCTCAGGAGCTACTTTTGGCTTTTATTTTCTGTTTTTGCAGTACAAAGCCAGCCCTAGCAGGGCTCAGCAGTTAGGCCAGACATGCCTCATTAGCAGCGAGAGCAGGAAGATGGCAAAGGTGATACAGGGCAGCAGAGCACAGAGTGACAGGGTCCTGAAGTGCAGAGTAATGAGGGCAACTGGACTGGGGGAGCTGCAGCTTCTAAGGCATGGCAAGCAGCCCTAGGTTATGATGCTCTGTAAAGCAGGGTGATCAATGCCCTGCAAATCAGGGCACAGAAATGGGGGGAAGGGGGAGATAGGCAGTTGGAGACAGTCCCTTACCTGACTGAGGTTCGAGGCTGGAGGGACCAAGCCTGGAATGGCTTGGATTGGGGCAAGATTTTGGCTAACGACAAGTAAAATTTACCTAACAACAGCAATGTTGGGATTGCAGTCACTAAGCAATGTGGTCATATGACATCTCATTTTATGACCCTATTCCTTAGTTAATGAAAATCTGGTTCCAATTGTGGTCGTAAGTCAAGGACTACCTATGCCTTGTTTATACTTCTGAACAAAGTGTGGGAAATAATTCTATGAATAGCCAAGTCTAGAAATGTGTGGTGATTATGGAAGAAGGGACAGATGTAATTTGATGTGGATGTGATAAATGGCAAGTTGAGTTTGGCTCTTAATGGGATATTTGATATCTTTTGTAAGAAAAGCCTGTAGGTAGATTCTTTTTTTTTTTTTACACTGTACCTTCCAGAAATGTCTGAAGCAAAGATTGTTATGAGAGCAAATTACTCACTTTTTTTTCTTTTTTTAGAATCAGGGAATCCAATAGTTATATATCATTTTAAACTCTATTTCATAAAGTATTTGACTAATTTTCCTCAAAGATTGATGAATGCTTCCCATTATAAGTGTTTCTCAACCTCTGTAATTTTAAGCTGTACAGACTTCAACTCTCAGAATTTCTGCATCCAGCATTATAGCAACCAAGATTCAAAGGGTAGTTATGTAATTTAAATTGGAGAAGTCTTGATAATTCTGGCTGTTTCAGTAGTCTTTTCCTTTGCATAAAAATAGCACAATGGAACTGGCATTAGGACTTGACTCTTTATGGCAGAAAAATGAAACATTTTGCAGCCAAAATTACACTTGGCTTATATGTAATGGGTTGGGGTCATGCTAAAAAAATATGTTATTTTTATCAAAGTGTACATTGTTTCAATATAAGTTTAAGAGTCTTATATTTTAGTACTATAACTCCATAGAATAATGAAATAGAAAACAACCGTGATACATAGCTATGCGTTGGGGATCATAACCAATACAAGAGAATCAGGAATAAGCTCTCAAGGAACAGATGACTGCAATCTACCCCAAGGTCTCCATGAGGGTGCAGCTCCACAGGTTAAATACAGCTGCAAAGAAAGCACATCTCTTACATTTCACAAGATGGCAGTGCTTTACAGCCAGGACAAAAACCTTTTGTGATCAAGACAAAAAGTAAATTTAATTTAAATGTTAATAAAATTACTATAATTATTTTCCATGTATTTAAAAGGATGGCCTTTGAAAGACTTCAAGGTACATCTACACACACACACACACACACACACACACACACACACACAAACACTTCCTAGATAATAATCAGGGCAGCTCAGTGGTTTACCTGGTGAATTATCCCTAGACATACCATCAGCATGACCATACCCAAAGGGATTGTTAGAAACCCTTCTTTAGTTCCTGTCATAAAGGTGGAGTAAGAATCTTTTCAATAGCAGCAATTCCTTCTGGGGAATTTTTTAGTCAGAGTCACAAATGATACTTTCCTTGTCCTATTAGATTTTTTTTCCAGGCTTTTTAAAAGCATTTCACTCTGAGCAAATCCATGCTTACATTTTGTTAGAGTTTTGCTATTCAAAAACCTCCCTAGGAGGTATAGATATAATCTGAAGCTGAACATTGTGGAACAGCTTCTGTAGCATCTAAATATAAAGTTTTAATAAATATACACTCTAGAAGTAGACTTAGTATTGCTGTCCATAACTGTGTACTAAAACATGTTTTATTAATTTCTGTTTTCAAAACTCCAATCCATTTTCAGTATAGTTTTCTATTCATATCTTCAAATATTATGTCTTTTGAGCAATCAAATTTTTCAAGCTAGTTGTGATTTCTCTACCCCAAGACAGACAAACTTTGGGCAACTTAGGATCACTCTTTTTATTTGTCACAGGATCATAGCAGCCATGGATAACACGAGGAGGTGATGAAAGTTCTCTCCCTGATTTATTTATTTAAGTTTCTAAAACTTATCAGAGATTAATTCATCTATTATATGCTGTTTTCAGGGGGGAATTCATGAAAAAGTGTGAGAAATGCAGTACTCCAGTTATTGTGGAGAAAGGAGACTTGGGAATCTCTTCAGATTATTCATCCCTCTTCTACTTGGTAATTGAGATGGTTTTCAAGTACAATGACTGTACGTCTTTTATAAAGTGTTTTACTTTATAAAGCTATACTTGAGATTTATTTTTTCACAAACTCACTTTTTATGTCCTTTATTTTGGATATTTAACTTTTCCCACACAAATTGTAAAATGCAACCTTTCACAGTTCTGTGAAAAATAGGGAAATAAATTTACATATACTGTTTGATTTCAGATATTTTTATTAGAATATGCAGTTTTTCTTGGGTTTTGCTCTTGAATTTTCCTTTGTAAGGCAAATTCATTTTTTTATCCTTATGAACTTTTTTCAGATTTGCCTCTTTTTTCAGGTTTGTCCTTTATCTTTCTTAAGAAAATATGGCTACTGTAATTTCAAGTCACTTTAAACATGGCCCAATAAGTAGAGCATTGCCCATTTCATTCAGTGGTTTCTGATAAAATATGAGCCGAGGTGGCGCAGCAGTTAGAGTGCAGTACTGCGGGCCACTTTAGCTGACTGTGTTCAGCAGGTCAGCGGTTCAAATCTCACCGGCTCAAGGTTGACTCAGCCTTCCATCCTTCCGGGGTAGGTAAAATGAGGACCCAGATTGTTGGGGGCAATGTAAATATATATATAAATTGTTTACTGGTGTACACCGCTTAGAGAGTGCTTGCACTTAAAGCAGTATATAAGTCTCATAAAATAAATAAATAAATAAATAAATAAAATAATTCTAAATATTTGAACATTTTCTTTAAACTTTTAAATTTTGAGAACAATGTCAATAAAAAGCACAAAAAGAAATATTCTGTGATACATAACAGATTTTTAAGACACATTTTGGAACAAAAAACTCATTCAGATTCCCATGATTTATTGTTACATGACTTCTTTTTTAAAAGAACTATCCTAAATCTACTGCCAGTTAATATTACTGTATAATACCAATAAAATATATTTACACAATAAATTGCTGCAAAGGAGAGCTGTTCATTTCAATAAAACTTGCATTAAAGAAATTTGAAAAACTTTGGATCCTGGATGTTCTGAATCAGAAATAGAACTGCAACATATCAGGACTATAAATCTTCATGAACTTTCACTGAATACAGAGGGTTTAAACTCATGCTTTAATGACCTCAGAAGCATTAGAGTTTCTGAATCTGCAGAAGAGTTTGTGAATCTCATGGGGCCATTTATACCAGAACATCCCGGATTACTTAGTAGAAGGAGAAAAATACACATAGCTTGGTTGTGGCACTTATTCCTCCTTTGTGCCATCCTCTTTAAATGCAACAAGTTCCCCAAGTGTCAAACAATATTCCACTAGGGAGGATACCATTACAGTGTCATTAGAGAAAGAGCTTGAGAACACAATTCTCAGCAGGAAAAAACAACTGAGGTTACTGAATAAACAGGATCATCTTGAAGGCTGGCCAAGGGCTTAAATCTCAGATTTTCTCTTGAAAGTACTGATTTCCAGCATTTAACCTATTTCTGAGTGCCTGAGGTTAATTACTATTTTCATGAATATTCCATTTTTCCATCTGATAACAGTCAAAGTAGGTTGCACAAGACATCAGCACAACACTTACAACCAAAATGAACCCAATAAA